GGTCAGCTGGGGGGCCCTCCTACATGGCACTGGAGGGGGGTCTGGTTAGCTGGGGGCCCCTCCTGCATGGCACTAGGGGGGGTGGATCTGGTCAACTGGAGGGTCCCTCCTGCATGGCACTGGGGGAGTTGGTCTGGTCAACTGGGGGGCCCCTCCTGCAGGACACTGGAGGGGGGTCTGGTCAGCTGGGGGGGTCCCTCCTGCAGGACACTGGGGGGAGGGGGTCTGGTCAGCTGAGGGGACCCTCCTTCAGGGCACTGGGGGGAGGGGGTCTGGTCAGCTGGGGGGACCCTCCTGCAGGGCACTGGAGGGGGGTCTGGTTAGCTGGGGCCCCTCCTGCATGGCACTAGGGGGGGCGGGTCTGGTCAACTGGGGGGCCCCTCCTGCAGGGCACTGGGGGGTCTGGTCAGCTGGGGGGGCCCTCCTGCATGGCACTGGAGGGGGGGTCTGGTCAGCTGGGGGACCACTCCTGCAGGGCACTGGGGGTTTGGTCTGGTCAGCTGGGGACTCCTCCTGCATGGCACTGGGGGGGTCTGGTCAGCTGGGGGACCACTCCTGCATGGCACTGGGGGGGTCTGGTCAGCTGGGAGGCCCCTCCTGCAGAGCACTGGAGGGGGGTCTGGTCAGCTCGAGGGCCCCTTCTGCAGGGCACTGGAGGGGGGGTCTGGTCAGCTGGGGGGCTCCTCCTGCAGGGCACTGGGAGATGGGGGGGAGGGGACAAGGAAATGAAGATGAGGCAGAGAAAGGAGCAAGGGACAGCTGTCTCTAGCCCTGAGGACATGGGGCCCTCGCTGCCGTGAACCCTGAATCGGGGTTGCTACAGTGGAGTGCTCCCTACAGCTCGGGGTCTCGGAAGCAGTCAGAAGTGAGAGGAGGGAATGCAGCTAGAGGCTAAGATGTATCTCCAAAGCTGCAATCTGTTTCTGTTAATGTTTGTTCTGTGTTTTCTGTCTTTTTGGCAGCAAAGGAAATAGGAGGGAAAGAAGGAAAAGACTGAGAGGTAAAGTTCATAAGGTCTCTCAGAATTCAAATCAAAAGCTGCAAAACACAGTTGTAGGCTCATAAAGCTAAAGAGTTCAAAGTATCCAGTCTGGTCTCCTAACCTCAGGAAAAACACCCGATCTGTGATTTTTAACCCCAGCAGGATAATATTCCCAGAGGTGTTTTCTAGTTATTATTAAGAGGAAGCTCAAATTTGTCAACGAGTTCACAGCGGGAAAAAAAAAAAACTAATTTCAATTTGCTTAGCTTTAAAAAGAAAAGTGTAATTTAGGCCATGCAGCATTTATAGCAGTAGAGAATACTGTCCTAAATTCAAATTATAAAAAACATGTCAGAACTCCAGCAGTGCTGGGAGCTAGGAGCTTCCAGTTGGGTAGGGTAGCAGGCAGCTGCCTCCATCCTTAACATGCCAAGCCTTTATTTATCCGCAGGTCCTTCCTTTTGTCCACCTTGAGTATCTTTCAGATTTCCAGTTGTTTAGCCCACCAAGCGCACAAGGAATAATTGCTCACTTTGTCTCTTTAAAAAGCACATTTGAGTGGAAGACAATCATATGAGGTTTTGCAACCTCTCCTATAATTTAAGCAACCAGTTTCCTGAGAGAGATGACGAGGCGACTCCAGGCTCCAAGTAGCTAGTTCAGATATATCAAGGTACCAGAACATCTGGGAAACCCAAACGGGGTTTCCATGGCTACCCCCTGTGCACCCGCACTTCTGATCCTATTACCTGAGCAGTGCATTATTTTTGCTAGTGCACTGCTCCCTCTACAAATACACAGCTCCCCTACCCATGTCTTCACCCAGACCCTGGCCCATCTCCCTGGCACACTTCAGGCTGATGGCACCTGCCACCGCACCCTCGTTCACATGCACAATGCTTCCCCTTGGTTGCTCAGAGGCACTGAAGGAAAATACAGACAGGACCTGCTTACCAATCCACTTGTCCGTCTTGGACCAGGAGAGATCATCCTTGGTGCTGTCATAGTAGCCGATCTTCTTATAGCTGCCCCCTGGGTGGGAGACAAGAGGGTGAAGAGCCCGGCCCCAGCACTAGCTTCCCACTCCCCTGAAGTCGCTCTCCCTGCCTGTGCCTGAGCCCCTGGGGGTCCCTGGGAGCACCTCACGGCTCTCTCGAGTCTGCAACCTGACTGAAAGGCAATGGAAGGTGGATGCCAGGGCAGCGTAAGGACAAGTACGGGGAGCATCTTGTGTGTTTGAGGCCTCCTTGGAGGGCTCCACAGACACATCCCTCAGCCTCACGCCTCTCCCGGCCGTCGTCTGGCACTTTGATTCTGGCTTCTGAAGCTTCAGCGTTTCTGCTGATTCTCCCTCTCATGACAGACAGAATCACAGGATCTAGTTTCCCAGTGGCTTTCATTTTAATTTTAGAAATTTCTCTTCTGTTGGCTTGGGTTTTAATTCCTTGGAAAGTTGCATCTGCCTCTTAGAGCCACGAGGGGGGAATTCAGCCATTCCTAAGAATTCCCGCTCCAGAACTATTCCCTCAGAAGCCAACCCACAGCCCTCTCTCTGGTCTGGGCTACAAGGAACATCTGCGGACGGGGTGGGGCAGGGGCTGGGAGAAGGAGACTTTGCACGTTCGAGGAGGCTGAGAGCGGTGTGTGGACAGTCCAACTCGCAGAAGCTCGGCAAGTACGTGTGCATGCTGATGTATAAGGAAATACAATCTAGAAAAGCCAGACTACACGTGAGACACAAAAATCGGGAATGATAGCTTATATAGCAAGGAAATGCAAAATAGCAGGTTTGCTAGATTCGGCTTGCCTGGAGTCCACAGGGGTGCACCTGACAAGGCATTAGCCCCTCAAAGCCAGGCCACCAAAAGCAAATTTTTGAAATCACAAGGGAAGCCACTGGAGAAAGACTGTGTCTGCCCCTCCCAGCTCTGGGCATCCCACCCTCTCTGAGCTTTTTACTATTCTTACTTTTTTTTTTTTTTT